GAGCAAGAGACTTAATGTTCCAGAGACCGGCTACACAATAACGAGTCTACCCAGCATTATAAGCGAATACTGACACGGAATATAGTAAATGCGTTGACTTCGGTATTTGCGTAACATCAAACTTAAATTATTAGACAACCAATACTGAGTCGGACGTTATTAATTTTTTTTTCCCCGGCTAAAGACTTCTTTTTTTTTGAGACTCTATATCTCAGGGGTGAGTCGTGCCCCACGCTCTTCTGATTTTACCACCTAATCTCAGGCCGGACGCCTTGCGAAGACAGTTAACCCTTCCTGTTCACTTCGGTGACGAGTCGGTAGTGAAGCAGGTTTGTTATGGGTTACTGCTTGCCGCACAGAAATCTAAATATTTTATTCTTCGGCGTATAGTGCACCCGGTAACGTGTCAGGAAAATTCACCATTTAATATTGTCCAGAACGTACGGCAACGCTAAAACTGCCAATGAGACTCTGCCATCTTGACAATTCTTGGCGGGGTTGCCACTACAGGGAACATTGCGGCAAGGACATAAAAAGAGCAAAAGCGGAAAAGAGAACACTATACCTTTTAGACAAGCTACACTATAGGACTATTACATGGCAGGATCTCATTGGCGGCGCGAACTGCCGTTATAAACTTTCCGCGAAACTGCGTTACAAAAATCACGCGAGACTCCCGTTACCAAATTGCGCGTGATATAGAGATGGCCCCTTGGCCCAAAAATCGATATGTCATGCAGCGCTCAGTATAACTAAAACTATTTAACAAAATCATTTTCCCTTTTCCTAACCGACAATGATTAATTTCTTCTCAAAATTTTCCGATATCATTCCATCCGATTTGTAGAATACTTAGCATAGGTAGAGCCTTGTTAGCATTCTCTCAAACTAAGCTTTTCAATAATAGTCGATAAAGACAGCAAATAAAATGTAACATTAGGTTTCCTGAAATAAAACTAACTAATTAATAAGTTTTAACGCCCTGTAGATAACATTTACCATCGCGTAAATCGGTTATGTAATTCCAAAATCAACTCATGTAGCCTTAATTTGCTTACACAATTTAAGAAAAAAAACAAATAAACGCAATCAGATTGTATGCATATCGATGACAATACGGCCATCTCCAACATACCATCAGAACTAAGGCGTAATTGGCAGCGGATATAAAAACCCGCCGGCAACTCCCCATCGCCCATTTCTATGTCAAATTCGGCAATCGAACAGCGAGCAACGCATGCACATTTTTTGTAGTGAGTGGAAAGTGATAAAATTACAAGTAACCTGTTAAAAATTTAAGTGGTTAGTGCGCGCGGTATAAAACTAAAAACTTAAACAGAAATACGTGGTCCCGGCACGTAATTTCTAAGAGAAAAAAAAGGGAAGCCAGAAGTGAAGGCGTCGCCTAGGCAAAACAGTTCTACGCGCGCCTGAAGTGAATTAGTTGTGCGAAAGAAGACGCTTCTTCGCGTTCCACCAGCGTTCACTTACGAGTGAAGACCAGAGTTTGGGCATAGCACAAGTCCTCGCGCACTCCTGTGCGCCAAAACCTTCTTCGCGTTCCACCAGCATTCACTTACGAGTGAAGACCAAAATCTAGGCTTAGCACAAGTCCCCGCAACACTGCAGGAAACTGGACGTACGGGACTTGGGCGCTCCTTGAAAGCAACGCACTGAAGTGGCACTGCGGCACCATCTATAACTACTTGGAACACTGGAGTCGGTAAGTTTTACAAGATACACTCAAGAAAATGTTTGTTTGAACTTACGCGTATTAAGAGAGGTAACCAGTTTTCTCTCCTAAAGTATAAAAATTACACACCGTGTTAATTAAATTAAACACGCCTGGTTACTTTTGCATACCAATTGTGTTCCGTAGAGAGAATTACGCTTGAAATGTTGGAAATTATTAAATATGAGCAATTAATTGTTACTATTGGTAGAAAATGTGTTTTTACGCTCAAAATGGTTGCAACTTTAACCATTTCATGTGTATACTTATGGGCATAATTTAAACATTTAATGTTCAAAAATCCAATCATGAACATCTAACGCGTATATTGGCACTGAATATTGTGGGGGGGGGGGGGGGAATGTATAAACACGTTCAGTAGTA